GTGGGAATGGGGAGCGGGGTGTTCCCAATGAGGATGGGCAGCAGGGCTGGGAATGGGGAGCGGGGTGTTCCCACGTCCTGTGCCCGGTCACGGGTGGGCACAGCCCAGCCCAGGAGGGAAGAAGGATGGCGGTGGATCCTTCTTCGATGTGCACTACGAAAGAGAGTGCCCCTCACACCTCCCAGCGCCTGCCACCCTGCTCCCAYACCCATCCATCCACTCAGGAGCAGCCACGCGGTCCCAGGGCAGCCCAGCGGGTTTATTGTCGGAGGGGACATACAGAACAGCCATGCCAGCCCAGGGCACCGGGCACCCCGGCACAGCCAGGGCTTGGCACAGAAGCGGGGCGGAGGAGCCGAAYGCGGGGGCTGCGGATATCCCACAGCAGGATCCATCCCCCCAAGAGCTGCCCCACAGCGGGATCCGTCCTCCCGGGGGCTGCAGGTGTCCCGCAGCAGGACCCATCCCCTCGGGAGCTGGTGGCAGGGACAGAAGGGGATGGCAGGGACARTGGGAACGGGTCCTTTTGCCCCCTGGTCCATAACGTATATAAATATAGAGGCTGTGTGTATCCATCCTATGTATATATGTACATCGGGGAGCTGTGCCGGGGCGACCGGCGCCCCCGTGGCCACCGTCACCGGGGCGCCCGGCCCTTCACTTGAGCCARGCATCGCTGTAGAGGGAGCGGGCCTTGGCGTGGCGTCGGGACGCGGCGCTGGCGTTGAGGACGGCCACGCTGCGGCGGCTGGAGCTGACCACGTCGGTGACRAAGCCGGCGCAGTCGGAGCAGACGTCGCGCAGGACCGAGCCCTGGGCGTAGATGTGCGGGAATTCCTCCTCCACCCGACGCCAGCACGGCCCCGAGAGCGAGCTGCGGCACAGGGCACCCCGTCAGCCCCCGCCGGGGAATGAGGAGGGGAGAGGGGTGGGGAAAGGCTCAGGGACTCACTGGAAGGGCTCCCTCCGGCGCAGCGGCGGGGCCTTGGGCTGCAGCGAGCCCGGGAGGCTCTCGAAGCCCAGCGCGTAGACGGGGATGTGAGCCAGCTTCTTGGAAGGCATCTTCATCTGTCGGAATGTGGGAGTCAGGGCGGGGTGGGACAGGGACAGGGACGAGTTAGGACAGGGTTGGGATAGGACACACGGTGGGGAAATGGGTCAGAGATGGTACAGTGACGAGACAGGACAGGGGTGGAGCGGGATGGGCAGGGACAGGGACAAGATGGGGCAGAAGAGGGACAGGTCAAGGGCAGGGACAGAGCTGGGACAGGGACACAGTAGCACTGGCTAGAGCCAGTCCCTTACCTTCAGACTGCAGGAGCTACAGACAGACCTGGGGACACAGAGAGAGGTGGGTGAGAGGGGCCATGGTGGGGACCCTGCTGCCGCCCTCCCTGCCCTGTGACACAGCATGGCACGGCACAGCTCAGTACGGTGCTCACCGCTTGCAGAAGAAACACGATGTGGGCCAGGAGAAGAGAGGGAACTTGGCCCTGCAGCAGCAGCAGACCTGTGGGCAGAACAGGGTGAGCTGGGGGCATGCAGGGGCACATGGCCCCCCAAGTCCCTGCAGCCCTCTGTCCCCATTCCCACCTTCCCCCTYCGCAGGCTGCTGTACAGCTCCTTGCTCTGCAAGAACTTCTCCATCTCAGCCTTGACCAGCACCCTGCGCACGTTGATCATCTCCTCCACAGTCAGGGCCAGGCTCTCCACRGGGTGGCTGAACTCCTGTGGGACAGGAGGCAATGTCAGCCCACACTGTGGAAYAGGGCATTGGCTGGAGCACCCCTGTGCCAGGGCAGAGCCTCAGAACATGGGCAGAGCACCTAGCATAGGCAGAGCATGGACAGGCAGAGGATCCCCATCATGAGGAGCCCCCAGCCACCCTGTGCCCTTGTGCCATGCTGCCACGTGCCCATGGTCACGCTGGCCTGCTGATCCCTACCCCCATGTTCCCAGCTCGTGTTCCCCAGAACCCACCAGCCAGAGGTGCTTGGAGCTGCTGGCGGGGGCAGCGCTGGATCCATCCTCTGGCCTCTCCTCCACGGCACCAAGGGCAGCCCGGGGCAGTGCTGGGCCATCTGGCAGCGGGTGGCAGCTGGCAGGGACAGAGCCTGCAGGGAGGGATGAGGAGGCCATGGCAAGGACATGTTGCCTGGTGCCACCACTGCTGAAAGGCACGGCACAGACCYCTTGGGGACAGGGACATGGGGACCTCTGGCAGTACCTGAGCGGGGCCGGGGCTCGGGCTGCAGTGGTTCTGGGTCCCGGGGTGCAGCCTGGTCACCCCCCAGCTGGCTCTGCAGCTGTGCCAGGTCCTGCTCCGAGAAGGAGCGGTCCCGCTTCATCGGCACCTCCGTGGCCGGGGAGTCCTCCTCCTGCAAGGCCATGGGCACCGCGTCACCCTGGGGACCCCGCACCCCTGTGTACCCCCAGCTCCACGGGTCCCCTCTTGCCTCAGAGAGGTTCATCTCCTCCATCTCGGCCAGGGTGGGTGCCTTGAGCAGGACGCGTGGCCGCGGGCGGGCAGGCATGGCACTGGCCGGGCACCGGGACAGCTCGAGGCAGGAGCTGGAGGTCAGGCGGTCAGCACAGGCGTGTGGGATGCAGGGCAGGGAGCTGTATCCTGCAGAGGGATGGGCTCAGCGCCGCAGAGATGGGCACACAGGTGGCGTGGCACAGCGGGGAGGGGACACCGGTACCTTTCTGTTCCACGGGCCGGAGCTTCCGCTCCTGCCTGATCTCCTCCAGGATCTTTTCATGGAGCGTCCTCTGCTTCTGCGGCAGCGGCCGCAGCCGCCGCTCTGATGCCTGAGGGATGCACAAATGGGACCTCAGGTGGTGGCCATGGCTTGGGGATGGCACCGTGGGACCCACCAACACTGCCATGCCAGGGAGATTGACCCCGTGCTGACGCTCACCTGCTTCAGGGGGGGCCGGGAGCGGATGAAGTCGAGTATGAGCTCATGAGCATCTTTCTTCACCCGGGGGGGAATGTCTCCATCCACCTGGAGAGGGAAGGGAGTCAGTGCTGGGCTGGGGGTGGCAGGATGGAAGGCCAGGGGCTGGCATGGTGGCCACACTCACCATGACCTTGCGGAGTTTGTAGTTGCGGGCACGAATGTCCTGCATGAGCATCTCGAAGGGGGTGAGCTGGTACTCGGTGGGCAGAGGGTTGAACTGCTTCTCCTGCACCTTCTTCAGCTTCACACCGTGCCGCAGCTCCCGCATCAGCTGCACCCACAGCCGGGCCTGGGGGGACACATGGGCACAGCATCAGCACCCAGCCAGCCCCACCACGGCCCCCACACCCGGCCACGCTGCCGTACCCAGTCTGTGTTGCGCAGGTTGCCCAGCTCTGCCGCCGGCCGCTCCTCCTCTTCCTCATCCTCCTTCAGCTTCTGCAGTAGCTGTTGTGGCACAAGATGCTGTCACCCTGTCACACTGGCGCTGAGGGTCTGGCCAGGACTGTGCCCTGGGGCTACAGCACTGAGCTGCACCCCAAAACAGCCTGATTGCCAGCCAGCACAGCAGTTTGGCACCAGCAGCCTCGGCTGGGGTGGGCAGAGGGGGCACTGCACTCGCCCCAGTCCCTTGTCCCCGCGGGTGATTTCCTCGGGCAGGGCACTGGTGCCAGCGGGCACTCATGCTCACCTCCTTGGCATCGCGGATCTTGGCGAGAAAGGCCATGAGCTCCACGGTCTCTGCGAACAGGGCGCGGCACACAGCCTGGTAGTGCGCCGGGGCACCGGCGGGGTCGGCCAGGCGGGCGGCGCAGCAGCGCATCGCCTGCCCGAAGGTGCGCACGGAGCGCGGCGGCCCCTCGCTCCCCTCCTCCTCCTCATCCTGTCCCCCATAGCCCTCGTCGGCCGTGGCGCAGCCGCTGTCCTCGGAGTCGCTGTTGGTCATCAGGTCGATGAGCTGCTCCAGGCGCGGGCTCAGCTCCCGCTCCTCGTTCTCGTCCAGCCCCCAGTCCAGCGCCCGGTACACGGCAAAGCCCAGCGACTGCACCATCTGCAGGGGACGGCACCGGCTGCAGACCGGGTGCACTCTGGCACCAGATGTTCCCCCCTCCCACTCGGTGCTGGGTCGCGTTCCCGGAGCTGGGACCGCCGGGTGAGGGGGAGAGGCGGCCATACCCACCCCACACCGGGCTGTGATGGCAGACGGGWCAGGTCATTGACTCCCACGTACCTGGGCTTCGGCGGAGGGCGTCAGCAGCGCGGGCAGGTCTGGGGGAGGAGGGCAGAGTCAGCACTGGCACCCCACCCGGCATCACMCAGCACACAGCACATCATCCTGAGCAGCTCACATCCCCCCAGCTGGGATCCCTTCCTTCCCTGGCTCATTCCATCCTGTCCAGGTCCCAGGGCATGGCCCCATGGGACAATGAGCACCTGCACATTGGGCCGTGGTATCGGGCAGTGCTGGCACAGCTCCCAGAGGACACATTCGGGGGCGTAGGGCACCCCTGTACCTTTCATCTCTGGGGCTGGAGGGAGCTCAAAGCTCTGCACCCATGGGGAGATGTCCCCTGCACTGCTCTGGGATGTGGGCAGCAGCAGTGGGGGCACCAGGAGTGTGGGCAGCAGGAGCAGCACAGGCACCGGCAGGGTGGAGCATGGCACACACACACACAGCTGGAGCATGGCACACACACACACAGCTGGAGCATGGCACACACACACACAGCTGGAGCATGGCACACACACACACTGCTGGAGCATGGCACACGCAGAGAACCCAGGACATGCTTATGGGGCAGCTTGAACCCTCCTGGCAGCCGCAGGACAAGAAACACGAGTGGCCTCTGCAGCGTCCCCAGGGCTCCTGGCTCCGCTTCCMTCACCATTAGCTCCGCATTGAGCTGATCAATGCGGCAGCCACAAGGATGTGCCAGCCGTGTACCAGCCCTGTGCAAGCCAGGAATGGACAGGAAAGGCAGCACAAGTGGTGGTCCTGCCATGACGCCACACACGAGCCCACCGAGGAACCGTGTCCCGGACTGTGCCTGTCTCCCACTGCAGTGCCAGCCCCTGGGATGCCATCATCACCCTGCTGAGCCTGGCAGGTCCCAGCAGCTCMCTGCAGCCACTGGGGCACAGCTGAGAGGGAATTCCCATAAGACACGGGACTGGAGTGGTTCCAGAGGGTGCTGCTGGCTCACCCAGCCCGGATCCAGCCCTGTGCCCGGGCAGAGYTGCCAAACCACAAGCCAGGCTGATGCCACCACCTGCAGTGGCACCCAGAYGCACCCAGGGCACTCCCAGCCTCAGGCTTCACTGTGAAGGCTTCACTGGTTCATCCCTCGGGATATGGCTCAGGTTGGCACAGAAGCAACCTGGGAGCAAGAGGTGGCACTGGCAGGTGGCACTGGCAAGTGGCACTGGCAGGCGACACGGGCTCCAGCCCTGCGGTGGCTCAGGGCAGGGCATGGGGCCATTCCCATGCAGGACCAGTGGAGCCGGTGTGACCACGCCRTGCCCAGCTGCCATGGGCACGTGCTGTGCCTGTGCGTGTCCCTGCTCTGGGCACGGAGCCA